ACACAATCTGGCTGCAGGCGGCAGAGAATCCTGTCTTATTTGTTTAAACAAAGAGTGCAAGAGAAGGCTGGGCGCGGTGGCTCACGCCTGTAATCCCAGCACTTCAGGAGGTTGAGGCAGGCAGATCAGGAGGTCAGGAGTTCGAGACCAGCCTGGCTAACATGGTGAAACCCTGTCTTTATTAAAAATCCAAAAATTAGCCGGGTGTGGTGACGCATGCTTGTAATTCCAGTTACTCAGGAGGCTGAGGCAGGAGAATCGTTTGAACCCTGGAGGTGGAGGTTGCAGTGAGCCAAGATCGCACCACTGCACTCTAGCCTGGGCAGCAGAGCAAGACTCCATCTCAAAAAAAAAAAAAAAAAAGTGAAAGAGAAGTACAAAGGCATTAGTTCTATGGTTCACTGTTATCAGGGCCAATGTTTCTGCAAATCTCCCAGCCTTCCCTTCAAGGCTGAGAGAGGTTTTGTCAGCTCCAAGCATCATGTCTTCATTCAAGGTGGGGAGAATCAAGAAGAGGACGACAGTAGAGTCAGCAGCTCTTGTCCTCTTTCACCAGGAAAACAAATGCTCTCGCAGATGCTGCCCTTCCCCAGCAGAGGTTTGCTTCTGACCCTTGGCCCTCATCAAGTTACATGGTCACCACTGGGCACTGGAAAAACTGGAAAGGCAAATATTCTTTGCCTCTTACAGCCTTCATGGGAGAGGCAGGCAAGGAGAAAGAGGGGTGTGGATGAATGTGGAGCAGGCAGAGTCTCTTGACAAGTGGGCAGTATAGATGGTAATGTTGGTGCCCAGTATCAGAGATGTTTTCTCTTGGGCTGGTCAGTGTCTCAATGTGAAATTTCCCAGCCCCCTGCCTAGTGGGAAGTGCACGTTAAGAGTCAGAGTCAGAGTTCCAGCACTCAGCAGAAGGAGGAAGCCAGGGTTCTCACTAGACTCCCTTACTTTCAGTAAGGCTCTTCGAGTCTGCCTCCACTGCGCCAGATGCCCCCCATCTAGAGCTCAGAGATAGCCATCTGTATGAGGGAGGACCAGCCTCTGCCGGGGAGCGCTGGGCAAGGTGTTTCTGGGTCTGCTGGCCTTTGTGTGGCCTTTCCCCCAGGCCTCCTGTTCTCAGCCCCAACCTGCACCTCCACAGTCTAAGATGCCTCCTGGTCCTGATTGTTTATGGATCTGAGACCCCACTTGCTTCTTTGTCCACCTCCACTCCTGGAATTAGCAGAGTGAAGAAAACAGGAACACAAAACAGTTACTTACCTTCTTCCATCTCTCACCTTGAGGGGAATGGATTAATAAAGTGTCATGGATGCAGAATACAGAACATTCTGCAGCTATCACAGATACAACTCAAAAGCAGGGTGTTGAGGGAAAAACATAAGGAAAAGAAGGAAATCTAGAACAATACCCATTTATATAAATAAAAAGCACATACACACCAACAGCCATTCATCATAAAAAATGTGCTCAATTTCATTAGTCATCAGGGAAATGCCCATTAAACCCAGAATATGAAACCTCTGCACACCCACTGAAGGGGATAAAATGAAAATGACAAAAGTATTAAGTGTTAAAGAATGCATACATTCACTGCTGGTGGAGTGAATATTGGTGGAACCACTATGGAAAACTGTCTGGCAACATCTGCTAAAAGTGAACAAACACTATCCTGTGGCTCAGCAATTCCACTCCCAGATATGTACCTGACGGAAATGGTACATATGTTCATCAAAATTTCTGTACTAGAATGTTCATAGGTGTGCTACTCACGAACCCCAAACTAGAAACTACCCAAATGCCCATCAGCAGTAGAATGGGTAAAGTCTTGTATATGCATACAATAGGATTCTGTACAGCAACAAGAATGAATGAACTACAACTACATGTGACTCTCGTGAGCATAAAGCTGATCAAAAGAAGCCAGACACAAAAGATCCTATTATACAACTCCACTTTAAATAAATATCAAAACCAGGCAAAACTAGCAAGGGGAATTTGATGTGACTGTAGTAGTTAACTCTGGGTGGGTGTAGTGGTGGTGACGGAAAGAGAGCACAAAGAGGTCTTCTGTGGTACTGATAACGTTTGGTTTCTGTGTTGTACTGGTCACACGGATGTGTTCAACAACAGAAAACCCTTTCAAGTGAACACTTAGGATTTGTGCACTTTTCCATTATGTAGGTTCAATAGCAGTAAAACATAAAAAGGAAAGCTTTGGGCTGTTAGAAGAGAAAACACATATGCACAAACAACAATACTACCTGTTTTACAAGGATGTGCACATAAAGACCTACTTTAGCTCTTAGAGAGGTGCCTGTGTGGAGAAGGAGATGGCAGTGGAGTGATGATGGGGGAAGAAATAAAACAAAAACACAAGAGAGGAGTAATGATATGGTTAACCCAACTTTGAACCTGAGGCAAAGTAAAGGCAAACCTTGGGCGGAACTGAGGGGTGAATAAAGGAAATACTAGTTTTTAAAAACATTTATCTCTGACAGCCAATGACATGTTCCTCTTATTGCTTTAATTAAATAGGGTTAGCCAGGCATGGTGGCTCACGCCTGTAATCCCAGCACTTTGGGAGGCTGAGGTGGGCGAACCACGAGGTCATGAGTTCGAGACCAGCCTGGCCAACATGGTGAAATCCCGTCTCTACTAAAAATACAAAAAATTAGCTGGGCATGGTGATAAGCACCTGTAATCCCAGAGACTCAGGAGGCTGAAGCAGGAGGATTGCTTGAACCCGGGAGGTGGAGGTTGCAGTGAACCAAGATCACGCCACTGCATTTCAGCCCCGGAGATAGTGCAAGACTCCGTCTCATACAACAAAACAAAAAATTTAAATAGGGTCTGGCAAAGAGAAGGGAGTAGCCAAGATCTTGGCAAGGGCTCTTTGTAGGAAGTGCCTGTCTCCAGACACCTGTTGCCTTTCTCTGCACTCTGAGGCCTCTCTTGGACCACAAGGTGTGCTTTTATGGATGAACTTCTACAGGGTCAGAGCTCTGGTTCCCCATCCCCTGGGCTTCTCTGCCCCTGTTTAAATTCAGGGTGCATGTAGACTTACCAGGCTCAGCCCACCTCTCCTGCTGGCAACATCCAGTTGCCCAATACTAAACAGGAGACTGAAAACTCCACTTCTGCTACATATGGAAGGAGGAGAGGCAGGTCTCCAACCCTACCCCCAGCAGCTTCTATCCCAGCCTTGTCTCCTGCTTGACCCAATGTCAGTTTGCAAGTAGAATCTTCATTCTGAGGCCGAGAAGCCCGTGAGGGAAGTTCTTAGGGGAGGTAGGACCTTCCTGCTACTGTGCTCTCCTGCCTGGTCGGTGTGACTCTGGGAAGGCGGTACCGCACGAGGGCTGAAACGTTGACATTGCCTGCACTTCCCCTTCTGGCCGATAGTGGGAGCTGCTAGCCAACCTGAGGCTCGTCAGAGGCTAAAGACTGGCCGCCGACCTGTGGTCCATCCGTCTGTACCCCAAACACCCCACTTAATTCAGGGCCGGAGAGGCCCGTGTCCTGAACTTTCCTGTAGACTGACTTTCTTACTGATCCGTTCCCGCAAGCAGAGCAGCCCCTCCGTATGTACCTAAGGTGTCCAACGAAGCCCCACACCCAGGTCGCAAACTGAAACTGTCCCCCACCCACCTCGTTGCCCTCCCACCTCTCCAAGGTCCCCATCATGGAGGAGCAGGTCCCAGCCTCTGGGCTCCCAAACCCAGCACCTCTGTGCCCACCCTGGCACCCATTTGGCTCTCTAAGAGCGGTTCTTGCTTCTGGGAGCCCTGAAAATGTGGCAGAAAAGTGTGCCATCACTACCAATGACTGTAGTGATCTGTGGGCAAAAGCTGATGACCTGTTTTGTTTTGTTTGTTTGTTTTTATTGTTGTTGTTGTTGTTTTGAGAAGCAGCAAGATTTATTGTGAAGAGGGAAAGAACAAAGCTTCCACAGCGTGGAAGGGGACCCAAGCGGGTTGCCCTGATGGCCTGTTTTGTTTAAACAAGAAGTGTGTCCCCTAGGTCCTGGGCATGGGCGTGTGAGCAACTGTTTGTCAGCGTATGTCTCCGTGTGTGTGTGCCTGTGACCATGTCTCTGAGTGAGAAACAGTTGGTGTGTGGGTATGTGACTCCAGGCACACATATACAGACATATATGTGTGTATACATGTATATATGTGTGTGTGTGTTTGTGTGTGCGCGTGTGGGTGTCTGTGTTGGTTGCCTGCTTCCTTCTGGGTCTGGGTGTGTGTTTGGTTCTGTCAGTGTGTTCAGGTAGGTGTGTACCGTTGTGCAGACTTCTGTGGCATCACTAAGTGTGTCTCCAGGAAAGTGTGGTTCGAGTGACTGTGTGTGTCTCTGTGTCAGTGTGTCAGTGGATGTGTGTCTAAGTCATGTGGGTGTCTAAGTTTGTCAGAGTGTCTTCCTCAGTGTCAGTGTGTGTCAATGATGTGTCTGTGTCTGTGTGGGTGTGTGGGGGTGTGTATCTGTCTCAGGGTGCATGTGTGTGTCTGTGTCAGTGCAGGTATACCTATGGCAGCGTGTGTCTGTCTCGGCATGAGTGTCAGTATACGCCCATGTCCACGTGTGTGGGTGGGTGTCTGATGTAGCCTTCCCAAGTCAGCAAGGTTGTGTGTGTGTGTGTGTGTATACTCCGGCGTGTGCTGGTGTGTATGCTAGTGTTTGTTCATGTGTGCCTGTCCGCGTCCGCGTGGGTGGCCATCTGTGGCAAAGCGTCCCCGGGTCGGCGTGTGTGTACCCCCGCCTGTGTCTGTCTGTCCGCAGCCGCGTGGGCGGCTGTCTGTGGCTGTGCGCCCCGGGTCGGTGTGGGAGTGTGCGCCCCGGCGGGAGCCGGTGTGTCCCCCACCTCCGAGCGGGCGGAGCGCCACGTGCGGAGCCTCGGGCGCGTCGCTCTGGGGCGGAGCCAGCCCGGGGCCCCAAGCCCCAGGCCGAGCCCAGGCGGGGCCCGCCCCGACCCCGCCCCCGACCCCGCCCCCAACCCGAGCCCGCGCGCCGCCTGCCCAGCCCGGGAGCCCGAACGGAGCCGCGGAGCCGAGACGGCGGCGGCGCCCGTAGGATGCGGGGATCGCTCCCCCGGGGCCACTGAGCCTGCGCCCAGTGCCCCGAGCCCCGCGCCGAGCCGAGTCCGCGCCGAGCAGCAGCCGCCCACCCCGGGGCCGGGCCGGGGGACCAGCAGGTGAGCGAGCGCCCCCGCGCCCGGCAGCCCTGGCCCGGCCGGAGCCCCCTCCGCCTGCCGCCGCCCAACTTTCCTCCCCGAGGGCCGAAGCCTCCAGCCCCAGCGTGCTCCTCCCCTGCCCGGGTCCAGCCAGCCGCTCCCTCCCCGATCAGTGCCCCCGAGAAACGGAGGGGGAAAAGGGGCGCAGATCCGCCCGGCTGGAGGGGATCCCCGGGGGAGACGTCTCTAATCACCGTGCGCCCCCCTTCCCTTCCCTTTCCTTCCGGGTTTCCCGGTGCGCTGTCGAGGGCCGGGGGAGGGGGAGCTGCGGCCCCAGCTTCCCGGTCATCCCTGGCGCAGGCTCGGGGAGGGTCTGGGATTGGGACCCGGATTCCGGAGGCCGGAGACCCCAAGGTCAGAGCGGCGACTGGGCGCGCAGTGAATGTGGTTCCAGAGAGCAGGAGTTGCGGGGGCTGACTGAGCAGGGCTGGATATGGGGGAGGAAGCCACGCACCCCCTTTCTCTGGGCCCAGGGGGAACCGTCCGCTGGGGCTGTCCTCTCTGTGGGACGAGATCTCTGCGCGCTTAGACCACGTAGAGATCTCGGTGCCCTTTGACGCCCTAAAGGGGCCACATCTCCTCTATCTGATCTCTGTGCTTCTCGAAGGGGTAGAGATCTCTGTGCGCTGAGATTGGAGAGAGTTCTCTGCCCCCCTGTCTCTGAGCCGGACAGATCCACGCACCCTGATGGGAGGTGGCTCTTGACCTCTGTGTTATTTGATCGTCTTTGGTGGCGCCCTGGAAGAAAGTGGAGGTGTCAAGCCTTGTCCCAGACGCCAAGGGCTGGTGGGGGCCAGAGGTGTGGGGACTGTTAGTGGTGGTGATGAGGATGGGGGGAAATGATGTTGGGGACAAGTCGCTGGCTGTAGGCCTGACTTGCAAACACCTGTTGGAGAGCAGCGCACAGCCAGATCAGGACGCCATGGCTAAGATAGTGCAGGACTCACTCTTGTGCTCCTTAGTGCCTTCAGCCGAGCCCCGGGCCATGGGATCTATCTCCTCTTAAGGTCCTGGGCCTATGTTCCATTCCCAGGCATCTGCTCGCCTCCTGCTGAGACCCCAGGTGTGTCTCCCAGTGAGCCTAGGCAGTATCATCCCGACAGTCACACCACGTGACCGCCACCATGCCATGGCATCCGAATCCCTCTCCCAGGTTCCCACCATCCTTCAGGATCTAGTGGGACCCTGAGCAGCTGAGGTCCCAGCTACTGGGGGCCCAGGCCCTTGCCACTGCCCTCAGCTCCACTCGGTTAGAATTGGGCAGGTATACATGAATTGATGGTAATGAGTGAGAGGTGGAATGAGGGTGGTCAGGCTGCTGTCGCAGGAGCATGGAGAGGGTGAAGTCAGGAGACAGCCAGCCAGGGTGTGGAACACAGATTCTATGTTACAGTGTCCACCTGTGTGCTGAAAAGAGCCTCATTAAACTTTTAATCATGTCATCACCACCATATTGTACAAGTGGGGATACTGAGGCCCACAGGAGCTCAAGGACTTATTCAAAGTCATCTAGAGAGTCAGTGGATTGGGGGCACCACTCAGTGTGAAGATACCTTGAGATCCTAGAACTGAGCCAGGAGGATCTGGGCAGAAGGGGAACTGGCCCTGGAGTGCCAAGAGCCAGCATTCAGCCCAATGTGGCATGGGCAGCTGCTGTGCTCTAAGGTGCTCAGCCCCCTCTCTGTGTGTTGATCAAAGCTCCCCTGGAAAAATTCTAGGATTGACTCACTCAGCATGAAGATTGGGCTCGGAGGACTGGTGGGAAGCACCAAGACAGCTGGGGATGGGGGAACAGCGGAAGCTGGTGCCCAGGCAATCCAAAGAGAAGGGAGTCCTGAGGGCAGCCAGGGACAGTGGCAAATTGCAGTCTGTGATCTGTTCAGAGGAGGCTGGCTTCTGCTCACTCGTGGGAAGGTTATTGGAAGGGTGTACAATGATAGAAGTGTGTCCCCAGAGCCCACTCACAGGAGAGGTGGTTACCTTTGACTGGGATAGTCAAGAGTCTTATTCTAACAAAAATAACCTTCCACACTGGGTTTTGAAGGGTGAATAGGAGTTTTCCAGGCAAGGACAATGTAGTCTAGCTGTTAGGATCAGTATGTACAAAAGCACAGAAATGTGAAACAGCACAATTATTAGTTGAGTGATTCGTTGGGCCCCATGGTGTGAGGAAGAGAAGAGCGGAGTTAAAGCCAAGGTCACAGTCACGGGGGCCCTTGTGAGCTCTGCTCAGGAATTGGGAATTTATCCTCAGTAATGTTACTAAAAATAGCTAACATTCACTGAGTGCTTTCTGCAGGCCAGGCATGGCACTAAGCGCTTTATAAGGTTAATCTCACTGAATCCTTGCATCAACCCTAGAGATAGGGACCATCATAACGGCCATTTTGCAGATGGTGAAACTGGGGGTCCAGAAATGTTAAATAGTTGCATACCATCACATTTTCTAAGTAGCAGAACTTGGGTTTGAGCCCAAGTGTCAATATCTGCTGTGTACTCTACCACCTCCCCAGCTCAGACCACGGGTGCCATCTGAAGTCTTTCCATTGAAGGAGAGGTGACTGGCAGTTTACCACAGGTAACAGAACTTATGGTGTCCCATCTTCCTTCTCTGTCAGGTGACATGATGCTCTCCCATTCCCCACCTCCAATGTCTCACTAAGTGAGGTGTGCTGCCCCCTGGCGCACCATGAGAAGAAGAATGGGCAAGTTAAATTTGGGTTGGCAAACTTGATGAAGAGCAAAGGAGAAGTGACAGATGTGTCATGGTTCTGATTTGAACCTGGTGTACTTCCGGAGACAGATGCTGACATCCAGAAGGTAGTTGGAGGGAAGGGCCCAGGAAGGAAGTATGTTCAGGATGGAGATCTGGGCTGGAAATGGAAACTTGGAGTCTTCAGCAGAGGTTGGTCATTGGAGACATGGCACTGAATTAGATTGCCCAGCGAGAGTACAGACCTAGGGTTCTCAATCCTGGTGACATTAGCATCACTTGGAAAGCTTTAAATAAAAATACCTATGCTCAGGCTCTACTCCTAGACGTGCTAATTCATTTGGCCCTGGGATGGGGCCTGGGCATCAGGAGTTTTGAAAGCACTCAGGTGATTCTAACATGGTGTAGAGGGTAAGAAGGAAGGGGGTTGAGTCAGGAGCCCAGAAATACTCCAACCATCAAAGCAGGAGAAGTCTGCAGAGAAGGCTGAGAAGGAGCAGCCAGAGAGGTAGGAGGAAAGCCAGGAGTAGGAGGTGCTGCAGAAGACAAGGAGAGTGCCCCGCTCAGTGGGGGAGGGAAAGTGCCCTGTTTCCTTCTGCTGAGAGACTTAAGGTGCATTCTCATAAGTTCATGAATAGATAGAAAAAGAATGAATAATTTAAAAAGAAGTGTCCATTAGATCGAGCCATGGTGAGGGTGCTGGTGACCTTGGTAGGAGAAACTCTACTCAGCGCCTGCAGAATGTATGCCCAGCACAGACAGGTTCTTGTTGAATGAATGAATGAGTGACTTGGTGGGAATGGAACCCAGTTTGGAGTGGGTTGAGAAGCGAGCTGGAGGTGAGGACGTGGAGACAGCATGTGTAGACAGCTCTTTCAAAGAGTTTGATGGTTGAAGAGGGAGGAGAGAGATAGAAGGGAGCTGGCGAGGGGTGGGGTCAGGGAGGGCTGTCGGGAGAGCCTTGAGTGGACACTGTAGACATGCGTGTCCGTGCAGCACATCGCCGTGCGGGAGGAAAGCCTTTCCCTCAGCCGCAGGTCTGTGAGTTAAGATTGTGCCAGTGAAGTGTGTAGTGGTTACTATTTGTTCATGGGGCAGTTGGGAAGGCCTGGGTAGGGGGAATAACTCTTTCTGTGAATCCCCGAGAGGGAGATTTTGATGGCAGGAACTGTGATTCCTGCTGTGGGTGACGGGCAAGAAGGGAAGGGAGCCCTTGCTCTGCAGAGAGAAGGGTGTTCCAGAAAGCCCTATGTGGGGACAAGATGAGGTTGTCTAGGGCAGGTGTCCAGGGTGATAGGATTAGGAGAAGGGAGCTGGAGGAAAAGCCCTGTGGCTAAATACATGAAGAAGGCAGAGAGAGGAAAAAGCAGGGCCAGTGGGTAGCCTGTGGACAGAGGCTGGGCCCTGTGGGAAGCAGACCCACTACAGGGCTGGCCAGGGCTGCAGGGGAACCCTGGGATGGGAGAGCCCCATGGCCTACTGCCAGCCCAGTCTGCCCTGATGCAGAGGTCGGAGGCAGAGTTCATGCCTTTGGGCCATGGAAGGTTCTAGAAGGTGGACAAGCTATAACAATTGCTCTCATGAAGTTTACCTGCAAGTAGGGAGATAACATTAAACCAATCCATGCAGAAGATAACTTGAGATAGGCGCGAGTGCTATGAAGGAACTACAACAGGACAATGTGATGGAGAGACATGGGGGTGACTCTAGACTGGGTGGGCAGGGAAAGCCCCTTGAAGGAGGAGACTGAACTGAGACCTGAGTAACATGAAAAGAACCAAGCCTGGGGAGATCTAGGGAAAGAATGTTACAGAGGGAACTGCAAGTGCAAAGGCCCTGAGACAGGGGCGAGCTCTGTGGGTTGGAGCAGAAGGAATGGGGTGGGGACAGAGAGGTTCTGTGTGTCTGTTTCTGACCCACCCCTTCAGACTGCCCATTCGGCTATACACAGCTTACACCACTTGCCTCAGGCTGGCAGCGGTTCCTAGGGATGAGACTATTTTTAGACACAACTCTCCTCTCCGTGGGCCTAGAACATACCGTGTCTTTTTAAGATGATCAATATGGAATGACGCTATTTATAGAGACCCCACGTCAATTGTCGGAGCCTGGGACCCCCAGTGTGGGGAAAGTCCCAGGACCAGGCTTTGTGGAGGTAGACACCACCCCCTGGCACAACACTGGGGCCGTCTGACATCAATTCTTTAACACTTATCTTACCTTCTCCACCCTGCCTGCCGTCACCTGC